GTAGTGATGATGGATGGTGTTATGTGTAGTGATGATGGATGGTGTTATGTGTAGTGATGATGATGCATGGTGTTATATATGTAGTGATGATGGATGGATCTTTATATGTAGTGATGATGGGTGGTGCTATAGATGATGGATGGTGTTATATGTAGTGATGATGGATGGTGCTATATGTAGTGATGATGGGTGGTGTTGTATGTAGTGATGATGGATGGTGTTATATGTAGTGATGATGGATGGTGTTATATGTAGTGATGATGGATGGTTTTATATGTAGTGATGATGGATGGTGTTATATGTAGTGATGATGGATGGTGTTATGTGTAGTGATGATGGATGGCATTATATGTAGTGATGATGGATGGTGTAATGTGTAGTGATGATGGATGGTGTTATATGTAGTGATGATGGGTGGTGTTATATGTAGTGATGATGGATGGTGTTATATGTAGTGATGATGGATGGTGTTATATGTAGTGATGATGGATGGTGTTATATGTAGTGATGATGGATGGTGTTATATGTAGTGATGATGGGTGGTGTTATACAGTCTGCGCGGAATGTGAGATCGTGTGCTGAAAAAATATTGATATTTACGATTGTTATATAAATTAAGTCAAGTAACACTTACCACTTCAATTAATACTTTGTAGTGTTTCTTTTGCGCTTCAGACAGTCTTTTAGCCTTCGAGGAACACTCTCAGCAAGGTTTTGCAAGAGGTCAGGTGACAAGTTAGCTCAGGTATCCTTGATGGCTGCCTCTAGCTTCGGGATTGATGATGTGTCAGCGTCGCGCAGACGACGCTTAACAATGGACCACAAATTTTCTATTGGGTTAAGATCTGGGCTACTGCCAGGCCAGTCATTAAAGAAAGGTACCTCACAGTCTTTGAGCCACTGTATGACACTTTTAGCAGTGTGGCATGGGGCACCGTCCTGCGAGGCAGGGTGCTTAACAGTCTTTACAGTGTACTGTGGGAGGTGTGCGTCTGAGTGGGGCAGGCGGTACACCCTCCCACCACTACTCCCAGTCACAGAAAACGTAGCCTCGTCGGACCACAATACACTTCCACGTCTCTAAATCCCACACTTCATATTTCTTGCAAAATTTCACTCTATTTTCCTTCTGTCTCTGTCAACAGAGGTTTACGGCGGGCACGAAAGCTCTTAAATCCCAGGTCATCGTGCAGGGCTCGTTGAACACAACGTAACGAGACGTGACTCAAAAGACAGGGGGTTTCTCTCTTTCACTTCACGTGCTGTGAGTGAGGGATTGGACCGAACTTGTCGAGAAATAACCTCAAGTGTCCGTGGAGACAATAATTTAGGCCTACCAGACTTAGGTTATGGAGATGGTAACTCGTCCTCTCCAAGGTCACAGAAGCGTTTGTCAAGATTTTGAACAACTCGTAATGCCACACCAGTCCGAGCCGAAATTTCTCTCGGTACATGGTTCGCTTTGTACAATGCAATCACTGGTGCAATATCGTCTCTTGTAGTAACCCTCCTGGACATCTCTGATGGCCACTATGTCGGGTTAATGCACCTCAAACTAGACAAAACACGGCCACATGGCGCGGGAACCCGCACAATAAATCTTCCCCTCACGGTTGCCAGAGGCGAGCCGACTACAAGCCGTGACATGTTCTCAGTTGCCAAATGTCACCACTTGCCAGCAAACCAAGCGTTTTGACATCTCGCATCCGAGGACAGCCTTCACAACATGTGATCTTATTTTTGCGAGAACTTAAGTTCTTCGGTCCTATCGCAGTTTAATATTCCGCGCAGACTGTATGTAGTGATGATGGATGGTGTTATATGTAGTGATTATTAGACAATAAAATAGTAAGTTTAATGCAAAAAAAAAAATACTTTACTGTACCGTTGTAGTGAAAAAACACAGTGGAACTTACATACACCGTTAATGGAAGAAGAAGTTTTGGGGACTGAACAGTGACACAATGTGGAGTCTCCAGTAGGGTGGCGTCCTACCATGGCCTAGCGAATGAGCGCGTTTCTGCTAGTGTGTGTGTATATATATATATATATATATATATATATATATATATATATATATATATATATATATATATATATATATATATATATATATATATATATATATATATATATATATCTCTCTCTCAACGACCTCACCAGCCTGGGCTCGTACCCTCGACCTATTGCATATGACCAGGGAACGCTACCACCATGCCACAAGGACACTAAAAGCAATCCTAGACTTCGATATATTTTACACAGTCCGTTCATCGAGCTGATGGCGCCGTGAACCTCCAATGGGATTGCCCGTGTCACACGCAAAAGGTCGAGGGTTCGAGTCCTGGCTGGTGAGGTCATTGATTATATGTTGAAAGTCTGCGTGATATATATATATATATATATATATATATATATATATATATATATATATATATATATATATATATATATATATATATATATATATATATATATATATATATATATATATTTCATACCAGCTGGATTTGGTAAAATGCTACTGACATCCACATTATTATTACATTTTCGCCCCGATGTGGGTCAGTGACCTGTGTCCGGGTGGGCTAATCCCCATAAAAAAAAAAGCAAGCAAGCAGCACGGGCAGTTCCCAATGAGAGGTTCACGGCGCCATCAGCTCGATGAACAGGCTTTGTGTGAACTATAACATAGTCTAGAACTGCTTTTAGTTCCCTTGTGGGATGGTCGCAGGGCCGGATTCAGGAGTGGGCAAAGTGGGCAGCTGCCCAGGGGCCTCCACATGGGAAGTAGTAGCTATATCAGGGCTGGTCGACTTGAAACCGCATGAATGACTCCAGTCATGTCTCACTTTTGTGTGTGTGTTGGAAATTTGTACACTATCAATAAATACACAGTTAATTAAAAATTTCTCAATGTTTTAATTTCCTCAATATAACTGCATATGGCTTCAAAATTCTCCAAAGAAGTGTTCAAATTTCAAAATTTTCCCGGGGGGCTTACAGCGCCCCGGAACTCCCAGATGTTTAGGCTCGCTTCACTCGCCACCCCACCCTCTTGAGTAGTTATAATGAGGGGGGCCTCTACAAAGAGGCTGCCCATGGGCCTCCACAGGTCTAAATCCGGCACTGCTCGTCATGGCTAGTCTGTGCAGGTCAGAGTTGGCGGTACAGTGTGTGTGTGTGAGAAAAGTCTTTCAATACTGTTGGTAAATTCGATCTGATGTTCGGGCATCAAAATGATCTAATTGCGGTAGTACTTGGAACTTGTGGCTATCCCCCAAGGACAAGCCACTCGTACTGGCAGACTCGACACTCACTCGACTAGTTTTACTAACAACAAAGACAGTTAAAGCTTTCAACATCACTTAATGGATGTTCCAACTATAATCAGATATCTAAGTTGCCTTAACATCTACCACCACTGTTGCAATTTCAAATTCTGTGTCGTTATATTAAAGGCCCGTCCACACGATCGAGCAGTGCCCGGCGGGCACGCGCTTAATGCCGAGTGCCCGTGCCCGTCGTCGAGCGAAATCACGGTCAGCCTGCCTGGCGGTATATAAGTATTGCAAATGTGATACGTATATGTTCCCAGCTCATTGTATAACCAAATAAGCTTATGCAATGTACATTATTGGCGTGACAATAAATGGGAGATTGTTTATATAATGAGGACATTCGTGTGTGTTCTTCGTTCCTGCTGCTCTCGTCCCATAGCTTCCTGTCTATGTATATCATAATTCTAACATGAATGTTTATGTACTACAAATCTCACCTGCAAGTATTCTCCCTCGAGTACTTCATACATGGCTTGACAAGTTGCAGGTATTATGCGAGACAAACTTTGTTTAGATATCCTCGTGACGTGTAGGTCACCCAGTTGAAAGATATACGAGCGTTACCTCTACAGATATACTCTCCCTCATATTGGTAACCTGGGTTTTTTTATATATGGTTCTACTTTCGCTAAGTTAGTGAAAGGTGTTGGAGTCCATTCTCATGTAATTGGTGATGTCTCGCTCATGTCCATCTTGCAGTTCACGTAAAATCGTGGCATGACTTCCCAATACTTTTTTCGACCTAACCTTTTCTGCATTTGGTTCTTTTTGCACATAGCAGCAATTATTATAGTACACAACAATATGATTTTCGCTTTTAACTGTCCGGCGATTGTACAGCACTGCTCGATCGTGTGGACAGGGCTTTAGGAACAACGAAGTCTCGGGTGCACTCTAAGATGGATAGAAAACAGAGGACTCACAGACGTCCTGAGAAATCGGACGCCTGACTCGTTAAAGAAGGCATAGCTACATGTTAACCCACAAACCAGCCTCCGCTTTTATTCTCCTTCTGTACTTCCCAATTAACTATACCTTGCCCTAAGTATCCTCGTTCACGGCTCTCTTATCTCTGTGTTCTGAGCGTAACTAACATGCACAACCGTGGTCATTACCCACTTTGTTTTTTTTTAATGCAATTTTTCCTCAATTTCAAAGCTTTTCCCATGTTAAACAAGTAAAAGGCAGTTTTTTAGATTAAAATATTCTAATAATATACATTGCGGCGGAACAGCAATAGAAGAAGAAGAAGTGTTTTGGAATTGTCCAAACTACAGACTCCAAATCTTAAATTCACTACATGACCACAGACCTCTAATTTCGACTGAACATTGAAAGACTTCGGGTCAATAGATGTAGGTTAACATTACACCTGGAGGAAAATGCTTACTAAAGCCTAAGGAATGATATTCCTTTAACACATAACATCTAGCCAGTATGGGAAGGATCGTCGTGTCTCCGTCAGGGGGACTTGGAGTGGTGGTCCAGCAGGCGTCAAGGAAGTGTTTTTTCGAGGGGGGGGGGGGGGGGTACGGATATATGTTACCTTAAACCTGCTACATCGGGCGTTTGGTGATAAACTTCCCAGACCGCCACGCTGACCCGATTATGGTCGGGCCGGATGCCGACGCCGTGCCGGTCATTACTGGGATCTTACGTCATATGAACCGAGGAATTATCAGAAAGACACAACGGGGCGAGAGGTGCTATTATTAGCCTTTACGACGAGGGTACACGCAACGCTCGAATAACTCCGCAGAATGGGGCGGGCGAACCCTCGGGCATCGCGATGGGTTACCCGCCGCTAAACGACGGGCGACGCGCCGATTAAAATCTTATTTTGACGTTAAACCGATACCATTTACGTATCAATAATATTTGACAGATCCCATTTAGACCGATATATTGTATATTGCTGTAGCCGTTCACTCTAATAACTACTATTTGCTCGGTCACTCCTCAAAAATCAGACGTGTCGTCGACGACTACATTGTGCATCTCGGTACGAATGAAACCGTCACTACGACGCGGTGGCGAAACGTATGCCCCGAGGTCCGTCTCAGTCTCGCTCGCGACGTTCCAAAACTCTTCCGTTTAATGTATATTCCGATATTATTGTAATCTTCGGTTGGGGCCTCGCTTCTAACCGGCACGATACATACATTAATATAGCTTAATGAATTTCTTGTTATAGTAAAGCATATACAGTACGGTTGTATGTCACACGAGGACGACACCGTCGCTACCCGCCGTCTATGGCTATTGCTCATATAGTGACCGGATGTACCTGTATCAACTTATGCTGATGCACTGGGGATCACAGCAAAGTATTTCATCTAGAGTTTCAAATTTTACCGCTAGAAAATTCAATCGATACTTTTTAGGGGACCGTACATAATTGGGGGGGAACTGTTTTCATTGTAGAAAACTATCTTGGCTTTTATAATGTGAGTCTATAGGAATATTGATTCGATTTACCATAGGTTTTTATAAGACACAGCACTCTTATAAACAGGGGAATGCCTGTACAACTTTCCTAACATTCAAAGTACCACAACAATATTAAATACAATACCACAGAGTACTTGAGGTCCAGTAAACTTTATGTCCAGCCAACTTCATTCTAGTTCACATCAGGTCCACTTTAGGCAGTGATGGAGAAAGTGCCTGAAAATATTACTTAAGATAAAGTACTGCACTGTTGATATGTAAAAATTTAAACTATGTACTGTAGTATTCTTCAAAACTATGCAAATAAAAGTTTAATTAACTCAACTGATTCATATAAGTAGAAAAAAGTATATAAAGTACCACAGCATTTGTAGAGTATCATAATTAATAAACAATGGCATTATGTTTTGAAAACGAAGCTTAAAGTTATTAATATACTGTAATGTACTTTAAAGAAACACGAAATAAACACACATTCAAAATTGGGTATGGGATGAAAAACGTGAATCTAGGCCATATTTTTGAAGTGTCGCGTACCGCCGACGCCAATGGGACGTGACTTTACACACAAACATTTACATAAATGCCCTCTTTTATAGGATTACTGTACAAGTGTACTGAAATACAAGTACTGGTTGTACCTCTCTGGTCCGGCAACCTCGGGACCCGACCGGTGCCGGACACTGGAAATTTCCGGACCGTGGAAATTCGCCCTCTTCCTGGATAGATAGTGACTTCTGTTTACACTTGGAAGCACTAGCACCACTTTCTCTGCTTCGTGGTCTCTTTGAAGACATATTGAAGGGTTAAATGTCGTACAGTAGCTTCTCAAATTTCGCGAGTTTTTAATTCGACGTTTTCTATTTGAACGCACAAAACAAAAACGCATTTAAAACTTTTGACGGCGGAAACTCGAATTTCGACGGGTTTGAACGGCCCGCCAACGTTCGGACGACGTGCACAATCGTGTAAACGGCGTTATTTCTCTTATGTACAAAAGATTCATTATTGTTTATTACTGAAAGTCTTTTTGATTGAATTAATGTTTGTGTGTGCAAAATGAGCAATACAATTCATTAATAATACGTTCAATATTAAAACGCGAGGAAATGAGACGGCACTGTTTTCATCGATTACAAAACCGGTGACTGACTGGTTCTACGTATAAAACTGAAGAAAATAAGACCCTGGTTGTAGCTGTAGTAAAATTAATATGGTTCTTTTAAGTAATGTTAATAAATGGAACAATAGAAGTAGCTAACAATAATGGTAAAGAAAAACAGATCGCGTATGTGAGTGCGCACACGTGAAAACATATCGTCATTACTTTACATAAGAATATGAAAGCAACACTTATTTACTGTTCATATATATTTGAATTAATGTTTCTGAATTTGTTTTTATTGAATTAATGTTTGTGTGTGCAAAATTAACAATACAATTTATTACTAATACAGTCGACCCTCATTAATTCGGACCCCTTTAATCTGGATATCGGACGAAATCTGAACTGTCCATATCAAATTTCTGGTTCTGGGATTGTCCCAGTTGCATTTGGGGTTGCAATTTCAAATTCTGTGTCACTACTAAGAAATAACAAAGTCCCTGGTGCACTCTAAGATTAAGAGAAAATGGACGACTCAGGAGTGCTGAAGTGAGAGAAAACGGACTCCTATGACGGGGCATTCAAATAAAGAGACATGGCTACATGTTTTGTGGACTAGCCACTGTACAGTATCCTTTTCATCACTTTGTTATAAACCTCGTTATGCCTATGTGTTTCTGATAATTACCATAACATTATATATTTATATATTTAGCGGTTGTACAAACACAAGGCCTCACACATGCCATTCAGACTGACAGACTTGACAAGTTTTACCAACCATAAAGACACTTGAAGCTTTAAACATGACTCACAATGGATCTTGAATATTCCAACTGTAATCATACATACCTAAGTTGCCTCAACAATTGCAACCCCAGTTGCATTATCAAATTCTGTGTCACTACTAAGATATAACAGTCTCTGGTGCACTCTAAGATTAAGAGAAAACGGACGACTCGGGAGTGCTGAAGTGAGAGAAAACGGACTCCTATGACGGGGCACTCAAATGAACATAAACACAGTTGTATAATGCAATATTAACCCCTAAATCGGTTAATTCGGACAATCGGCTAAAACGGACACCCTTCCCCCCCTATTAGTCCGTTTTAACGAGGGTCGACTGTACGTGGAATATTAAAACGCACGACGAGACGGCTGCCGGCATTGTTTTTGTTAAAGCTTACAAAACCAGTGACTGATTGGTTCTACATATAAAAGTGAAGAAAATAAGACCCTGATTGTAGCTGTAGTAAAATTAATGTAAAAAAATTAATATGGTTGTTTGAAGTAATGTTATTTAATGTTAATAAATGGAACAATATAAGTAGCTAACCATCAATGGTAAAAAAAAAAGTGAATGCGCGTATGTAAGTGCGTACACGTGAAAACATATCGTCGTTACTCTGCTTAAGAATATGAAAGCAACACTTATTTACTGCTAGAATATATATTGAAGGGTTAAATGTTGTACTCTGTATAGACAAGCAGAGAGAGAGAGCTGCCGGATGTAAACAAACCTTAATTTCCCCCGGCTTTGTTGTTGTTGTTTTTTTACGGGGATTAGCCCACCCGGGCATAAGTCACTGACCCACATTGGGGCCTGAGGGGCAAAAATTTAATACTCCTGTAATAATAATAATAATAATAATAATAATAATAATAATAATAATAATAATTCAGATAAAAAAACAAAAAAAATCAAGCTGCCAATCTACCTATTGGACAAACTAAAATCGTTCCGGACCACAGAATGCCGGACTAGAGAGGTACAACCTGTACTCTAATACACTCGGCTTGTACACCCAATGACACGACGTGAAGTAACGACGTCGGTATTACCTCCCAGGAGCGTTTCTCCGTTTGCCATAAACGGCGTCGTATGCGAGACCGGACGGGTCTGTATGGTCGAGTCTCCACTTGTCATACCGAGATGTGTTGTTGGTCCTTGAAGCTTCCTGGAAATGTGACCAATAGCTGTATAATACACAACACTGTAAAACTATTATATTATAGGCAGGGATTATCTGACCAGTACTCGGCACAATAACCGCCGGTTACTTGACAGAGATCTAAAATAAAACTAAATCCTTTTGTCAACAGAAATTATACAATTAAATAATACCATAATGTAATGACTTGTTTAATGCCCCCAACCATCCCATTAAAATCCCCGCAGGTCCCGGTCAAATAGCCGACGGTTATTTGGCCCAGAATCCGGGTCAAATAACAACTTCGTATTAAAAATAAACATTACTTATTAGTTTAACACCACATGGAGAAACCGATTACTCAAATAGGTTACGTTAGGTTGAAATTATCTTTTTCCAATGGTTTTTATGGATATTTTGAATGATTATGACTTTCGGAAAATAGGTGCACGGCCAAAATGATAATTTTACCAGTTTTTATTTGGATTTTTTCTAATAAATAAATATGATCTTCATTTCCTTACACTAACAAAAACAATGAATCTTCCAAAGTGAGTTAGACTTTCAACATGAAGGGTTAAAAATCAACATTGAAAACCCTACCTAACCTAATTTAAACTACCTAACTTCTTGCGATGGTCGAGCAAAAATTTAATCGGCATACCCGGTTTCGTACAGTCCAATAGTGTTTACATTTCGTGGACGTGACCGACGTAGAACGAAACTGCGACGATGTTGACGGATTCTTATCGTGCTGCCGGGAGAAAGGCACAATTTTGCGGGATTTATTATTTAAATCTCTCTGCTGTGACCACTCAGAAGACAGTGCAAATCTATTGTGATATTTACGCAGGAGCAAAAACTTTTTTTTCTAGATATATTTAAGCCTCCCTCGTGACCTAAATGTTGAAGACGAGAACTGACTCACTGACAAAACATTAAAACACAAAAACAAAACATTAAAGAAATAACTTTTTCTGTTATCATTAGTTAAATACAGCTACTCCTCGACATATGACCGCCTCGGTCGTACCAGAATTTTGTCAAATTACCTATTTTTGAGTACCGACGTTAGTGATTGCGCCGTGTACCGACAAATTTTTTGTTTGTAATTCCCTTTAAAATGGCTGGCAAGCGTAAGAGTGAGAGTTCTCGTGGTGCCGAGAAGAGAGAGAGACACCCGTTTTAGATTTTCTATGTACAGTATTATTTTCGACTTGCGACCCGGTCACCGGTCCCTAACCCCGTCATAAGTCGGGGACCGACTATACCGTAATGTGCTGGGTATATACAGTATAGCTCTGCTGTATATCATTATCTACAAGAGTTAAGTTGGACTCGCGAACGAGCCTCGGGTACTCGACTCGTCTGTCTGTCTGTCGAGAAGCTCCTGTATTGGTTTATAATTGACGTGTACGGTCACCCCAAAATAATATCTTTAGCCACGGGGTCGACGTGATTCGAGGCTATTCGACCAATGTTACACGACCTGTTTCTAACTCTACGTCTACACCTTTGAGCACGAATGAGTATACGTATGTTTTTGAGAGATGCGAATCCTCCGAGGCTTCCGATCGCAAGTTACGCGAATTGAGATTGCGTGTCGTAAATGGACGCCGACGCCGTGCCAGTCATTAATGGGATCTTACGTCAAACGAACCGAGGAATTATCGGAAAGACGCAATGGGGCGAGCGAACCCGCGGTATCGCGATGGGTCAGCCACCACGAAACGACCGGCGACGCGCCGATTTAAATTCTTATTGTGACGTTAAACCGATACCATTTACGAATCAATAATATTTGGCAGATCCCAATTAGACCGATATATTGTAATATTGCTGTAGCTGTTCACTCTAATATCAAATACTATTTCCTTGGTCACCTCTCATAAATCATACGTGTCGTCGACGACTATATTCTGCAACTCGGTACGAATGAAACCGTCACTACGACACGGTGGTGAAATGTCCGCCTCGAGGTCCGTCTCGGTTGTGACGTTCCATAACTCTTTCATTTAACGTATATTTTGATATTATTGTAATCCTCGGTTGAGGCCTTGTTTCTACCCAGCACGATACATACATTAATATAGCTTAATGAATTTCTTGTTATAGTAAAGCATATACAGTTGTATGTCACACGAGGATGACTCCCTCGCTACCCGCCGTCTATAGCTGTTGCCGATATAGTGAGCGGGTGTACCAACTTATGCTGACGCAATGGGGATCACATCAATGTATTTCATCTAGAGTTTCAAATTTTACCGCAAGAAAATCTATCAATAGTTTTTGGGGGACAGTACATAATTTGGTGGGAACTTTTTTTCATTGTAGAAAAGTATCTTGGCTTTTATAATGCGCGTCTATAGGAATTTTGATTCGATTTAATATAGGTTTTTAAGGCATAATACTCTTATAAACTGGGGAATGCCTGTAGAACTTTCCTAACATTCAAATTACCACAACAATATTAAATACAATACCACAGAGTACTTGAGGTCCAGCCAACTTCATTCTAGTTCACATCAGGTCCAAAGGTTCAGGGTCCACTTTAGGCAGTGATGGAGAAAGTGCCTGAAAATATTACTTAAGATAAAGTACTGCACTGTTGATATGTGAAAATTTAAACTATGTACTGTAGTCTTCTTCAACACTATGCAAATAAAAGTTTAATTAGCTCAACTGAATCATACAAGTAGAAAAAGTAGCACAGTATTTGTAGAGTATCATAATTAATAACAATGAAATTAGGCTTTAAAAACGAAGTTAAAAGTTATTAATATATTATACTGTACTGTACTTTAAAGAAAAACAAAATAAACACACATTCAAAATTTGGTATGGGATGGAAAACGTGAATCTGGGCAACATTTTTGACGTGTCGTGTACCACCGACACCAATGGGACGTGACTTTAGACACAAACATTTACGTAAATGTCCACTTTTATAGGATCACTGTACAAGTGCACTTAAATACAAGTACTCTAATGCACTCGACTCGTACACCCGACGACACGACGTGAAGTGAAGACGTCGGTCTCGCCTCCCACGGGTCGGCGGCGTTTCTCCGTTAACGGAGTCTGAGCTTGCCATGGAGATGTGTTGTTGGTCCTTGAAGCTTCCTGGAAATGTGACCAATAGCTATACTATAATACACAACACTGTAAAACTATTATATTATAGGCAGGGGTTATTTGCAGGGCTGTGGAGTCGGAGTCGAGGAGATTTCGGCTTGTGGAGTCGGAGTCGGTAAAATTGTCCAGACTCCGACTCCGACTGAAGCTATTCTGTTCCTAAGAACAAATATATGAACTCAGGCATATTCATTGCAGTGATTCAACTGATCCCACTAATTTTCTTAAATTATTAAAAGAATTTATTTCCATTTTATAAGCATTATTATGAATTTATTGTAGCAGGCACAGTATAGCACTATAATTTTGGACGATAGTCTCTTCTTTACCATTTGAAATTTTGAATTATATCAAATTTTGTTTCGTTGAAAACTGCACAGAGGCTCTCAGCTGCAAAATAATTAGCTACAACCTGTTTTTGGTGAGATTAAGGCAAATTTAATTTGATAACTTAATCATGTAAGGTTTATCCATTTTCCTTAATAAGGTATTCATTTCTTTAATGTACATAAATATATAACTTTACTTTAAAAGGAATTGTAGGATCATCATTTAGATCCACATCAGATTATGAGCTTAAACAAAATTCATATGCTGAGATCGAACTTTAGATATACATGTAAATGGTGTTTTCTAGTTAATATCTTGAATTCTTAATAAATTTATTTTTCTTTTGATTGAAACTTTGAAAGTCAAGCCTATCATCTTTTTGTAGTTCTTAAATATCGTCCAGATCATTAATAAAGCTGTAGCAGTATAGCCACGGTGTTTTACTTTTTACCTATGCAGGTTACAACATACAAATTACAATTAGGATGGTAGAAATAGTTGTTACAAATAGGCCAAGGAGTCGGAGTCGGAAGCATAAAAATTTGAGGAGTCGAAGGTTTTGTCTTCGACTCCACAGCCCTGGTACCTATACTGAAATTTTGAACAAAATCCATTTTTTGGCCGAAAATGACAAAAATTGTAAGTCTATAGCCTAAAAGGATTTTTGGCCAAAAATACGTTTTCTCTCTGAACTAAAATTTAATGTGCCCAACTATTTAAGTACATCCAGAATAATA